GAAATTTTGGGTACCTGGAGTCGGAGTCGGCAAACAATGCACCGACTCCGACTCCTACTAAATTTAGATTGGAATTAAAAAAAAAGCAAGTTTAAATGTCCCAATTCACAAAAAGTTATAATTAATGACTTCTCTACTGTAAGAATAAAGACCAATGCATGCAGTGCCTCACGTAACCGCAAAACGAACACGTTAAGTGTTTTCATTGTGTTTGTCTTTTGCTTAAACTGTTCAATACAGTAGACTGTTGGCTTCCCAGCCAGTACTCCTGTGGTAATGACATGTATGTTGCCTTTCTTTCCTTCAAGGAATGTATAAAATACATTCGCATATTAATACAGAGGAGTCGGAGTCGGGGAGTCGGAGTCGGAAGTACAAAAAAACTGAGATTCGGAGTCGGAACATTTATCTACCGACTCCACAGCCCTGCTTCCCGGTCCTGGCACGCGCAGCCCTCCCCCCCCACCCTGCGGAGGAGGCTGCGCGTCCCACCTGTTAGCCCGAAGGTGGCTGGGAAGAGGGAGCCCTTGACTCCCCCCCCCCATTTCCCCGTGAGGTCTTCTGGCCCAGCTGCTCTCTGCTTGTTAGAGGTGTGGAAAACAAAAATATTGGCCATTGTTCTTTTAATGCAAGGTTTAGGGCCCCAGGGGTAGTCAACCTTGGCTCTTTTATGAGTCGTGGACTTCAACTCCCAGAATTCCTGAGCCAGGGGCAGGGAACCAATGCCTGACCTGAGAATTATGCTGGGGGGCGGAAGGGGGAGGCAACTGCCCAAGCCTCGGTTCCTGACTTTGTGCCTGGCATCTTTTTAAATCCCAGAAAATCGAGCAGCTGAAGTCGGAGCTCCACCTGCTGGGAGCCGAGGGGAAGCAACCCAATAAGCACGTGTTCTTTTTTGACACCAAGAAGGAAGGTAAGGAGGACAGCAAGTCTTCCAGTATCTCAGGGGCTGCCCCAAAGAAGAGGCAGTCAAGCTATTCTCCAAAGCGCCTGAAGGCAGGACAAGAAGCAACAGGTGGAAACTAACCAAAGAGAGAAGCAACCTAGAACTAAGGAGAAACTTCCTGACAGTTAGAACAATTAACCAGTGGAACAACCTGCCACCAGAAGCAGTGAATGCTCCAACACTGGAAGTCTTTAAGAAGAGACTGGACAGCCATTTGTCTGAAAGGGTATAGGGTTTCCTGCCTGAGCAGGGGGTTGGACTAGATGACCTCTAAGGTCCCTTCCAACTTTATTATTATAAATTGGGTATGGAAAAATCAAGGTGGCAGAGAAATCTGCCTAACTGAACTTTGACCTTCTGGTAGCATGCTGAAGGAAAGGGAGCAGGGTCACCTTGTTGGTCATTTATCTTGATCTGATTTTTTTTTTTTACATCTCAAAATCCTTGCATTTAACAGGGGTGTGTGGTGTTTTTACATCCACTGTATTCACCCTTTTGTCTCAGAGCCAAAACTCAGAACTAGCAAGTTTTTCAGTTTGGCTGAATTGCAATTCACCTAGAACAGATTGGTGAAATTTCCAAGACTCAAGGTATTCAAGTATTTGTTGATATTCAGTATCCGTAAACATTGTCTAGAATAATGGTTTCTTGAGATAGTGAATCTTTTTAAGAAGATTAGGGACCCCCCCCCCTTCCAAGGAAGAATGCAACCAGTTTCTGCTGAAGCTCTTCTAAGTGAAGTAGCATGCCTGAGTTATTTGGCCTTTTCCCATTGGTGCAGCCCGTTTCCTTTGTAAACCTAAGGCTGGTCTCAGTTGCTTTGCAAGCTGGGAGTCGGTGAGGGAGGGCCCAACTAATTATGAAAAACCAACCTGTCCTTTTCTCAGTGCAAGGGTTTGATGTTGCTCTCCACCTGAACACTGCTCCGGAGCTGGTCAGCAGAGTCTACAACAGGCCAACCCTTGAAACCCTGAAGAAAAACGCTGTTTCGGGGATCACCACTGATGGGCAGCTACAGGTCTGATATTCTAAAGCTTCTTGGATTCCAGGAGTCTTCTCTTGGTCTCAGTTTGCACCCAGGGGTGGAGGGAGGAGCAAATTTGTGCGGATACCTGAAGTCGTTGGGAGTGGACAGGGCGCCTCAGTTGTACGTGCCAAAGTTGAGTAGGCACTCGCCTTCCTTCTACTGGAACAGAGGAGAAGGTTTATGCTCTTCCTAGTGTGCCTTCAAGCCCCTCCTCCTGGACGGGGCAACATGTAGGAAGAGGTCAGGATAGACAAAGTCCTCTCTGGTTCTCCACGGTTGCCAGTCCTATTTAGACTCAGTGTTGTTGTTTTTTTGTGGTTCGGAAAACATGCTTCAGAAGGAAGTGAGCAACTCCAGTGTCTTAAGTGGCAGCTGGGAGATGATGGGAAGTGGCCGTTCACCCTTTTCAAGGGACTTCAATGAGCTTGTGGCTGTTGCCAGGCTTAACTCTGGGTGGCTTCTTACTGCTCCGTTGGCAGAAGCCGGATGGCATGGCGGCTGGAGTGAGCAGCTGAGCTACAGAAGAGTGCAACTGTTCTCCTGCCTGTTGTGGATTTCAGGCTGATCTGCCAGGGAAGCCGCTTTCAGGGCTGAGTTTGGCTGCTTCCTCTGCATGTGGGGTTGTTGCTGTCCACTTGGTCCCCTCCTGCAGAGCTGGAGTGGAGGGAGCTTAGCTCCAGAAACTGCAATGGAGTTGCACCAGGCTGCCTTTGGGATGGGTAGGACCCAACGGGAGGTGTGATGCGGGGATATGTGAAGGTTGTCTAGATTAGAACCACCGAGGGGGGAGGGAACCTCAACAGATGATGATAAACTCCCCCTCTCTCTGGCTGGCTTAATTGCTGACACCCCTAGACTAGTTCAGACTGGTGGGTTTGCTTCTCTCCCAGGAGACTTGAGTCATCGTCGTCTACAGGGGAACAAGTTTGGATCTGTCCTGAGTGTTGGGGCTAATCAGCTCACACCTGCCCTGATGGGTTGTGCTCAGGAATGCTGGGGCTGGGGTGCAGCAGGACTGGACAGCCCTGTTGCTGGAGTGAGCCAGCCCCTGCCCCCTCCAGTTCTCCTCCTGCAAAGGCAGAGCAGCGTCCCTTGACTGCAGCTTCAGAGCACTTCCATTAGGTGGTCCTGCCCCAACCTGATTGGGGGGCTTTCCTCGACAGTCCAGTTGCAGAAGGACCTGGGTGCAGGGAGGACCTGGGTGCAAGGAGAGCCCCGCCCAGCCTCAGGGAAGGAGGTGGGAGCACGCTGAACATTGTGTCACTTTGGGAGCACCTGGGTGAAAAGAATGGCCTCTTTCTTCTCCATCTCCAGAGATTGGCCCGCCAGAGGAAGGGTCAGTACAGCCTCTTGAAGCAGCGCATCGAGCGTGAGCGGAAGATGTTTGTCATTGCGCAGAAGCTCCAGACCCGGAAAGATCTCTTGGTGAGGATTGCTCCCGATGGGCCCTGCAGGAGGTGGCCTCTGCTCTCCCTTGCAGGCGATGGGAGTAGCAACCTCTTTCCCTTCCTTTGTGGCATTTTCAGGGATGCATCTGGCCCCCAGCTCAGGAAGGCCCTGTGCTTTTTCTGTGGGGAAGCAGCTGGCTGAGGGCTGGGCTGGGCACCTGGCCCTTCTCTGGAAGCAGCGGCCAGGCTTTTGACAGAGCAAGCGGCCTAGAGAATCTTTTCTTCTTGATTTCAGGACAAAACAGAGAGAGTGAAGTTGAAGAAGGAAACGGTAAATCAGCCAGCAATTTATAGGTTCCAGTTCAGACGGAAGCGCTGACTCTTCTGTGAAGAGTGGATCTCTTCCCTTGCAAACTTTACAAATGCTTCCCCCCCCCGCCTTAGCTTTTTACCTGGTACCTGTTCAATAAACCCAATAACAATGGTTGCGAGTGTGTCGCTGTCCTTTCCACCCTGCCCATCCAGGCGCTGTCTTTGGAGCTTGGCTCCTGCTTATTCCCCTTTTACGGTAGAAAGACTGGGAAAAAAAGAACCCTGTGCCCGATCCCGGCCAGGTCAGACGGGAGGGGAAGGTAAGCCCTGGGACAAGATGCCTCTTGCCTTCCTGAAGGGCTCTGAAAGTGGGGAGCAGCTGGGCCAGGCTGGGCTTTGGCAGCCTCCCACCTGGCTTGGCGTTTGCACAGCTCCTGAGTGGAGGGATAAAAATGTGCATTCCGGGGCTGTGATGCAAGTATAAAAAAAGGCAGAGCCTGCGTGGCACCTCTGCGTGTTTTAGAATTTGGTGCTGTGCTTATGTGCCCAAAGCAGTGTTTCTCAATCTTGGCAGCTTGAAGGTGTGTGGACTTCAACTCCCAGAATTCCCCAGCCAGGGAGTTGAAGTCCACACACCTTCAAGCTGCCACGGTTGAGAAACACTGCCCTAGAGGCTTCGGCGTGAGAGAGGGGAGTTGCTGCGTGCAGGTGTGCTCCCCAGTGGCAAGGTGGGTGTTGTGGATGGATGCCCAGCAGGTGGCAGTGCTGTTTTACGGAAGGCTGGCTGGGAACTTGAGCGCTGTGGCTGGATTTGGGCGCTAACCAGAACGGGGGCTTTTGGGCTGGATGGCCTTGCTAGGCTCTGCCAGCAGATAACACTGGATATAATCTGGCTGGCTAGTCTTGCTGCTCTCCTCTCCCCCCGTCCTCCATTTGAAGTATTTGTCCCTGAAAGATCATGGCTGTGATGATGGGAGACGCTCAAACCGTGTGATTTGTTGCAATGTGCAAGGGCTAAAAGGTAGCTGGAAAATCTGGTTCGTGGTATCAGGCCAGCTCTTCTAGGGGAGGTGAGTAACCAAGAGAGGGTTTTGTGTGAGCAGAGAGGCAGCAAGCACTCTGACCAATTTGCAGTTTCTCCATTTTTCTGTTTTCTTGTGGCTTCCCGTCTCTCCTTCAGTCCCACGCCTGTGTCTTGGAGGAGGAGAAAAATTCTCCGCACGACTTTTTTCCTTTCTGCCCTACTCTTGGGCATTGGGAAACGTTCCTGCTGGAAGGGGAAGGGTCTTCAGGGGTTGTCTTGCAAGCCCACGAGGAACTGAGGGTTCAGGGCAGTGAACTGAAAAGCAATTGCAAAGAGCTGCTGTAAAATCTCTCACAATGTGGCTGGCGCCTCGGGGGATGCCTGGAAACCAGGAGAAAGCGACTCGTCCCCTTTGCCTGAAAAAGTCATAAAAGAGCCAAGGTTGCCTACCCCTGGCCCAAGGGAAAAAGCACTCCCCCCCCCACTTCTGCTTCTCCAGGGCTGGTAGGGGCCCGCCGGTGAGCGCTGGAGCAGGGCCTGTCTGGCTGCTCGTCAGCATCGGGGAACGGTGTCCCTGTGAGGTTGATCCAATTTAATTAACCTAATTAAAGGCGCTGATTGCAGAGATGATTGGGGCGCAGCCAGCAGCCACGGCATCTTTCTAATGAGCTGGAAGGTGCGGGACCTCAGCCAAGCGAGATACGTCTCTAACGAGCCCGGGCGCTCGCAGCCTCCTGCTTCGGGAACGCCGCTCTTGGCTTTTGGCAAGCGCCCCGTGTTCCTCTCCCTGAGAAAGGTGTGGGAGCCCTCCGCCTCCCCCCCTCTCTCTCCCCTCCCCGCCCTCTTGCTGCAGACAAACCCAGGGGCCTCTTCTCAGATTGGGGGGAAAGCAGGACTACCTTGGGGGGGGTAGGATGCAGGAATGAGAGCAGCAAGAGACCCCCTTCCATCGACAGAGTGATGGCCCATACAAGTGATGCTGAAAGATGGGCTATGGCTGCAGTTATGTGTAGCTGTGATAGTTTTGCTAAGGCAAGGCAGAGTGTATGCGTGGCTGGTCCACTGCCTTGGTCAGGAACCAAGAACAACACAATCAATTGTACTTACTTTTATTGCTATCTTCCCACAGCCCTCTCTCCTGCAACTTAGCGCAGATTCCACCAGGCCTACCTGCCTGTATGCTTGCTCTGTCCTCTCTGCTCAGTACCTGCCAACCAGACCTGGGGGGGTCAGTTGAAAGCTGCCCTTACGACATCTCCGTTCTTTTTGCCCTGACTCAGAGCTGTCATATGAATGAATGAATGAATGAACATTCTTTATTGGCCAAGTGTGATTAGACACACAAGGAACAAGGAAAGAATTAGACCTACAAGAAATTGAATTTGCAATCAGCGTTGGAAATTAGAGTGTTTCCATTTGTCAGACATCTCAGGTGGCATTAAAGCCGTGGGTACATCTGCACAGGGGCTGTCCCAAAATCTCCTGAGAAAACAAGCACACAGATGAAAAGAAACGGATTCTCCTCTGAGCTCAGCGGAGTCCCCGAATTCATTTCCTGGTGCGGGCAAAGAGATGAATGGTGGTGGGCCTGTTGTTGCTGCTGAGAGCCAGCCTACGTCGCTGAGAGTCTGGGCCCCAGCAGACTAGCAATTTCCACACCTGATGGGGCACCTTGTTACCTCTCTTTTCTAGGCAGAAGTCAGTCAGGCTTCCTTCTGGCAATCCAGCCACGACTTAGGGCTAAGTCAACCTAACTGGGGAGCTACCAGCTACCCCTTGGATGGTTTTCCTGGGCATTTGCAAAAGCCTCGGAGGTCTCTTTTTCCCCTGGGCATCCCTCACCCATCTCTCTACAATTCCAAGCAGTCTCACACACTTCCTTGGTAACCTGTCTTTGTTCCCCACCTTGTGGATATGTTCTTCCTGTGGTTGTTTACATTAAGTTTTTGGTTCAGCTATTTCAGTGGTTCTCAACCTTTTTAATGCCGCAACCCCCAACCGGTCGTAAGTCAAGGACTTTCCCTGCCCGGGAGCGCCGCGCATGCGTGGTTCCGCCCCCTGCGCCGGCCGAGGCATATCTGGCAAGCGGCAGAGACAGAGCAGGCCGACCACCAGCTGGCCCAGCTCAAGGGAGGTAAGGCACCAGCCGGAAAAGGGGGAAAAAATGGCGGACAGCCTTGCTTGGCGACCCCCGTGAAATGGTCGATCGACCCCAAATGGGGTCGCGACCCATAGGTTGAGAACCACTGAGCTATTTTATTCTGTTTGCCTTCTATTATTTTCAGGTTGGAATTCCTTGAGTGTTAGCATCTCCTTTTTCAGACACTTTGCCAATTCAAGGCACTTTTTCTTGTTGTTTCCTCTTTACCACTGATTTACTCTGGTTAAACTCCCAAGTGTGTGCTTTACAGATGTGGCTTTTGCTTCTCTAGCATTACGTGGCATCTTCACCCAATCTCCTTTTCTCTTCCCCCACAGAGCTCTCCCTGCAGATCAGGATCAAGGTAAAGATAATCAGTTCAAGAAGGAAGTTGTCAGCCAAACAGGCTGGAAATCCCCTGGAGGGACCATGCCGGGAATCAGACAGAATCACCCACAGATGTACTCAGATGCTGCTGCTTCTTACTGAAGTTGAATTCATGGGACGGAGTTTGGGGAGAGTCGGGCAGAGCGACTGTGTGAGGTAGAAGAGGTTTGAATCCAAATAATTATCCCAAAACCAGGAAAGGATGGTGGGGCGAGGTGCAGCTACAGATTGAGAGCCATCTGAGTGCTTTTGGCACCTTGGGACAGTCCCCAGGTTGGTCACTAGTGGTAGGTATCTGCTCCTACAATCAGAATTTGTCTGCTTCCCCTTTAAACGGGATGAAATCAGTGGCTGTCACTAACTTCACAATGGCAAATCTTGCTGTCTTCTACTCTAGGCTTTGTGAAAGCCCCCCTTCGCTCTGCCCTGATCTTTTAACCATAAAGCTTTAGAGAATGGCTCCTCTCTCCCCCCCCCTCTCACACACACCCATCCTTACTCTTGGACCTTCTTTTCCTCCAGTTCCAAATCACAAGTCTTACCCTTTTTACATCCCAGCTGCCAGCTGGATTATGGCAATGCTCTCTGCTTGGGCTGTCTTGGGAAAAAATTTGGAAGCTGCAACCGATGCAGAATTCAGTGGCTCAGGTAAATACGGGTACTGGATGGTATGTGAGAGCATCCCTAGATACCTGTTGGCTGCTTCTAGGTGCAGTTCAAGGGGGTACTTTTATCTTTGAAGCCCTTCATGGCTGTGGACTTGGGTCTCTTCAGGACCAATGTCTTCCAGTGGTCCCATAAGATCTAAGAGGATGAACTCCAATATCTCAGGGGCTGCCACGAAGAAGAGGGAGTCAAGCTATTCTCCAAAGCACCTGAAGGCAAGACAAGAAGCAACGGATGGAAACCTAGAACTAAGGAGAAACTTCCTGATAGAACAATTAACCAGTGGAACAACCTGCCTCCAGAAGAAGTTAATGCTCCAACCCTGGAAGTTTTTAAGAAGAGACTGGACAGCCATTTGTCTGAAATGGTATAGAGTTCCCTGCCTGAGCAGGGGGTTGGACTAGATGACCTCCAAGGTCCCTTCTAACTCGATTATTGTTGTTATTATTATCTTTTATTCATTAAACATGAACCTCAGTCAGCTGAACATTCAAACTGGCTGGTGCTGATGGTTGACACGGGTTGCTACCAGCATCCTAGGTGTCAACCAGGTACCTCCTTAAAATATAAGATGTTCCAAGTAGTGCAGTTGTTATTGTTGTTATTGTTGTTGTTCCCTATGGGTCCCTACCCTATTTAAAGTAGGCTTTTGAGAGTAGGCCTTCTTTTTCTTTGATTTCTTTTCATCTTTTTCTTACTTCATACTAGTTTGCATTAGCATAAAAACTTTATCCTTTAAAAAAATCTTTAATAAACTTTAAACCGAGAGAGGGGGGCCTTCTCTGCTGCTCCGACCATCTCTGAAACCAAGCCCCTCTCTGAGATCAGAGTCTCCTTACGTTCCCGAAACTTTCAGACTTTGGGACTCGAAGGTTGGGGAGGCCCCTTTGTACAGGGGGGTGTTTGTTGGTGACGTTCCTTTCCCCTTAACTCTTTTCTCTTTTGTTAGTGTGAT